GAGAGAGAGAGAGATTAAATGCTTTTAAACCAACTTAAAGTGGTGCTGCAAAACATTCAATTTCAGGCCCCAATTGCAATTGGGAAGTAATTTGAATCAGAAAATCAAGCATCAATTTAGGTTCCAAATTGGCCAAAATTGCAATTTGGCCTGGAAGTCAAACAGTGCCTAAGATGTTCTTTGAAATATTCTAAGTTGGGTTCTGCTAAGTGTTAGCTCGTATGTATTTGCTTCTATGTTACGAAAATGAAAATTCATTGTTCTTTTTTATTATTAACTGGAAGCATTGTACAATTATTGTACTTTTATTTAATTTGCAACATTTTAGGTAGCTGCAAAGATTAAGGTTGCTGTTGATGATGCACAGAAAGATGAATGGATTGTAGTGAAGGTGATGCGGTTTGATAGGGAGACCAAAGAGTAAGTCAATATTAGTCTTCATAGGGAAGAAGCTCCTGCCAAGAACAAGGCAACGCTTTCACTATCTCCATTCTATTAACTGCTTTTGATATTCATCTTTGAACAGATTTGAATTACTTGATGAGGAACCCGGTGATGATGAAGATAGTGGCCAAAGGTTTTGCCTTCACTTTGGACAACTATTTCTGTTGGCTTCAAGGCTTTTCTGATATTTCTTATTTCTTAGAAGAGTAACGAGATTATGTTTCCAGGTTCATTTATTGAAACACGCTTTCTATGTTTCAATATTCTGAGCAATCTTTCGGCCTTCTGTGTTTGATTGTTCCAACATCCTCGCAATATGCATATGGATGTCTCATTATGCATTAGATGTGATTGAAAATCTTGGATGCGAAGCAAATGCTACTGGATTAACTTTATTATTTTGACTGTTCCAACATCCTCGCAATATGCATATAGATGTCTCAGTATGCATTAGATGTGATTGAAAATCTTGGAGGCAAAGCAATGCTACTGGATTAACTTTCTTATTAGCACAAGGAGTTGGTTATGTAATTTGGATTTTTTGCTAGTGTGAGATATGTAAAAAAAAGGTTATTGTGAGAGTAACTACCTAGACTTCCTGCCAAGATAGTCCAAAAAAGGTGTCACTTGGGTTTGTTTTTGGCTTCTAAAGAACTCAAAGTAAAAAACTAAATGTCCTGAATGTGAATTAATAAAAAAGTAGGTTATTTGTTTATTTGCATATCTGAGATTACTGAAAAAGTCAGCATTAATGATTTGCATGGGAGCATTATTATCTCTTAAAATATCTTTTTACATAATAATGACATCGGTCTTACTTGATGAAATTCCTAGCTATTCTTCTCCAAAATCTGATTACATTCACTTTGTCTTTTGTGCTGATGAGTCCATGAGATTGGAAATTGTGATCTACGTAGTTTATTTTCAGGTGTATGTATTTTTGAAGCGCTGAAAAATTGGAGCATTCTTTTAATGCTGAGCCTTTGTTGTTTGTCTATTTTGCAGATACAAACTGCCAATATCAAGAGTTATTCCTTTTCCAAAACGTGGAGATCCTTCAAGTGCTCCAGATTTCCCAACTGGGAAACATGTTTTGGCAGTCTTTCCTGCAACCACAGCACTTTACAAAGCTACCGTAGTCAATACCCATCGCAAGGTATGTTTAGAAGACTTGTGACAAGACAAACATTAGTTATGATCAAATTGTATTTTTTCCACTTTTGGAAACTTCCTGAGAGGGCACCAAAATAAACCTGCCGGCTATTCTTCATGGCCTAAAGATGATTTCTTTATGTTTTCGCTCAGTGGTAGCCAAGTATGTAGTTAGCTACAGAATGAGTTTTCTTAGGCTCTTCAAGCTCACTGGTGTCAGATATCACTTGTATCCATAACTAACCTCAATTTTCTGATTGAATGAAACATTTCATGTCATGTATGCTAAACCTTTACAGATTTTAGTTCTGTAATTCTTTCCTGGTTCTTAGTAGTATATACTATATAGTCTTCAGCAATGATTATTGTTTTTCTATTAGTATTATTATTATTTTTTCAATTCTTTTACTATTTATTTTGTTTTCTTGATGTTCACTCATCTCCTTTCATATTAAATATTCCGACCTTGTTGGTTGTCCTTTCTTCCCCCTTTTTTAACATGTAAGGACATGTCCTATTTGAACAGCCTTTTATGGATAAATTTGCCTTTTATGGATAAATTTGACTCTATGAAATACATTTAAATTTTGAGATTGACATTTATGGCACTCGTATCAATGACAGAAATAGACATTAAAAGAAAAAGGAAAGCACTACTAATATGCAGTCTGTGTGTTGCACAGCTCCAACCAAACAATGTGTGTATGCATGCACGTGTGTGTGTGTGTGTGTGTGTGTGAGAGAGAGAGAGAGAGAGAGAGAGAGAGAGAGAGGATACTATTAGTTATACTACTACTACTAACTAGTTATAGTATTAGTAAGTTAATTAAGTTAAGTTTAACGGTTTAAAACTTTTAAAACTTA